ATTTGAAAACACGGGTACAGAACATCCTTCCAAACTTCAACCTTCTACTTTTCCAGTTTCGAGCTATTGGCTTTCGCATCAAAATTCTCACGCGGTCGTACGTAAGTCTCTGCATGCTTGGGGACTAAATCTGAGTTTATGAGGTACCTGCACTGGCGGAAACATCCTGAAATTTCAGCTTCCTAGCTTTCATGATTCCCGAGATAATTTTCCGCCAAAACTTCCACAGTGCCGTACGCGACATCCAAGCGCACAGGAAAACTGAATTTAAATTCTCTGGGTCGCACGTGGTCAAGGAGCACACTTATAAAATTTCATCTCCCCAACCTCCGTGGTTCCTGAGATGACTTTACCTGCCAAAACTTTTACGAAGCCGTACGTGTTACCCGCAGGCACGGGAAGATTGAATTTGAGTTCTCTGGATCGCACTTGGGCAGAGGATATATCTACAAAATTGCAATTTCCCAGCTTTCGTGATTCCAGAGATAACAGTTCTCCCCGCCAAAACTTTTAGGAGGCCGCAAATGTTACCTGCTGGCAAAGGAAAGCTGAATTTAAATTTTCCGGGTCGCACGTGAGCAGAAGACAGACCCATGGGACCTTAGTTTCCTAGCTCCTCTGGTTTCCAAGATAATCATTTTACCCGCCAAAAATAATACGGGGCCGTACGCGTTACCCGCGATTACAGGAAGGTTGACCTTGAGTTTTCCGGGTCGTACTTTGTCAGGGGACATATCCATAAAATTTCAGCTCCAAAAATTCCGTGGTTCCTGAGGTAATGATTTTGCCCAACAAAACTTTTACAGGGCCGCACGTGTTACCTACGGGTACAGGAATGTTAAATTTAAACTAGCGGGTCACATGTTGACGGGGAACATTCTATCAAAATCCCAGCTGCCTAGCTTTTGAGGTTCCCGAGTTGAAAGTGCGGACAAAATCTGGGACACACACTGAAAACTTCGTGCAATATGCGTTTTGTACTGCTGTTACACAGCAAAAAACGTATAATAAACTGAATGTCATCACATACTGGAACAAACATATGACTGGACTCTTTCCAACCGTATGTGGCACTCATTCATACCTAGACTTGATTGCCATCAATTACAGATAACCTTTATATAATTCCCTCCTGTAAATATTACTGTAACAGAGTTTGGAACGCAAAAAGAATAAACGGAATCACGGGTGCTTATCGTTCATGTGCTCATTAGACTGGTAGCACAGATTTATGCTACCGCGTTTGCAATAATTTCACCAACTGCTGCATTGTCAGACCTGAAACATTTAACACAAAATTACAAAATGCTTATGGCCGTCTGTACTTCATAGCTAGTTCTTCACCTATGCAGTTTTCAACTCCAGTTGTTTTGACCAGCGTCCTGCGATTAGCCTACTAGCAATCATGATGTTCGTTTTTTTTTGCTGCTACATTCATACAAACATACGCTGTCGCGCCAACAACATCATTCGTTTTTATGTGCTTCTTTAAGAAAAGCGAATAAATGCACCATTTTGTAGAATATTCTTTA